TGTTGTAGCCAGTGTCGCAAGATATTTACATGCCAGATGCGATAAAGATTCATATGTCCCCTCATGCTTCGCCCACCATTCCCAGAGGACATGCTTCCATGTTGATGATGGGTTCTGCTCGATAACAATCCAAAGCAGTGCAGACTGATGCACGTTCATTTTCATCATCATGAGTCAGACGCCACCAACAAAAGGTTGATTTTCTTTTTTGGTGGTTCGGGGTTCTGTAGTTTCCGCATCGGACTGATGCTCTTTTAAGACTTCTGAAAACATGCTCTACACCTCATCCCTCTCAGATTTTGGAAAGCACTTCAGATTCTTAAAACTTGGGTCAAGTTCTGTAGGTATCTTTAGAAACCTCACATTGTTAACTTCTTTGCATTTTGTCAGATCTGCAGTGAAAGCGTTCTTAAATCAAACAACATGTACTGGGTCGTCATCCATAACACGAAATATATGGCAGAATGCAGGTAAAACAGAGTAGGAGACGTAGAATTCTCCCCCAAGGAGTTCAGTCATAAAAAAATAATGCATTAATTAAATTTAACGGGCATCATCAGCATGGAAGCATGTCCTCTGGAATGGTGGCCAAAGCATGAAGGGGCATAAGAATGTTTAGCATAGCTGACCCATGAATACTTAACAATGCCGTCTACAACAGTGCCATGTGAACACTTGTTCTCATTTTCAGGTGACACTGTAAATAAGAAGTGGGCGGCATTATCTCCCGTAAATGTAAACAAACTTGTTTGTCTAAGTGACTGGCTGACCAAGAATAGGACTGAGTGGACTTACAGATTCTAAAGTTTTACTATATGCACTTTCACAATAGAGAGTGCACTACAGTACTTAGTATTTGTCAATTCACCGCATATATTTCTTTTATCATTTTTACAATGTAGATATTTGTAATAAAAATATAAAGTGAGTACTATGCACTTTGTATCGTGTTGTAAATTGAAATAAAATATTTGAAAATGTAGAAAAATGATCCACAATATTTAATAAATTTCAATTGGTATTCTATTAACAGTGAGATTAAAACTGCGATTAATCGTGATTAATTTTTTTAATCGCAATTACTTTGAGTTAATCGCATGAGTTAACTGTGATTAATCGATGGCCTTAATATAGATGCAAATATTTTATTAATCAAGGGGTATCTGCTTCTATGACGCTTTAAATTCTGCGTAATGTATGGTAACAAGACTTAGGTTATTCTTCAGAAGTTTGTGCTACTACTGATAAAAGAAAGAAAACTGAATAAAAACTCCAAAATGAAACCATGCGGAGAAGATGAAACTGACCAATGTGCTTTCGTTCTCTATATTTAAATATGTAAATATTTAAAAATGAACGGCATTGTTATTGATTTAACATCCAAAAGTCTGTTAGGTACTTTATAGACATTGAGGTATCTCCCCCATGCTCCCTGGAATGTCTTTCCATATACTTCTATTGGCTAGGTCTATATGATTTAAAAATCCAAACTTCGCCCTCTCATTCCAATTTTTGCTGTAGGTCAGTACTTACTCTGTTTCAGTTGTGTGTTCTGGGCACAGTTTTCTTCATTCAGGAGAAAAGTACAATGTAGATATATGGAGAGGAAGCAAATAATGCACTTTATCAAAGATTTAGCTACTATTTTCACCTATTCACTTTTTCCCTATCTCTCTTTCATCCACCCCAAAGCAACATGTAGAGAATAATCTTACCTCCCGTAACAGATTCCCTATAGAGGAAAAGCTAGGTTACCATGGAATCAGTCAATTAATTTTGACACCTGCTTACTAAGATTGATCAATCATCTTTGACGTCTCTCTACTAGGTTGCTATTCCTCAATTTAGAAAAAAAAAAAATACTCTCACAGGAGAATTAATGGGCCCCAAGACTCCCTAGAGTCTTTCCCTTATGTTAATGCTTTCAATGTTTGCTAATTCAACTCACTCATTCCCAGAGCTCAACTAATTATAGATCCTTTTCCAGGAAAGAAGACTTATTTTAAAGAAAGATCCCAGTTCTTTGTGTATTAAGCCTCACCTTAAAATCCCAAAGAATCCCAACATGCTTTTCGCCTCTACCAGTCAAGTTTAAATCAGTTAAAAGTTCATTTTTAACCTTGCACCCATTCTCTCACACACTTCAAACTGTTGAAGCATAGAACTCCACTTTAAAATAATATAGGCATGTTCAAAGTCACGACAGAATTCTATATTCAATTAACATTTTTGTATACCTTGTATTTACATCCTGTTTTAATTTTAATTGCATGTACAATAGTCCAACATGCTTATCAATAACATCTCTGCTCTTGTTGAAACATTCTCTACAATAATTGTTATTGATTGGAGCAACAAGCATCAGTGAGGTCCCAGACAGTCGTCACCTACAAGTGTCACTGTGAAAAACCTCGCCATTGGCTGCACATGTCTACAGCAGATGGTTCTGCCTCATAGACAGATGAGAATGGGATAGGCTAGTTCCATTATAACAAGAAAGCCTCCCCGTATTCTGTACAAGTCAGAAAGGCCTTCAAATCACATGGCTGCAAGGCAAAGCTTATGATATCGCTTTCCCCCTTCTGCACCCATATTCCAGCTGCTATCTATTCTAGACATTTACAATACACTAATCATCACACTGTTAAGCACCTAGCTAAATTTCATGGCTTGCAAGTCATTTGTGCTACCAAATAATGGCAAACTTTACACAGCCCCCACTTAGATTGGGTAAGTCTTTACAATGCTATATTACCACCACATAGTTTTAACAGAGTACGGTCCATTTTTCTTCTCAAAAGTAAAGCTTTATGGCACCCAATCTCGATAACTTTTCCAGACCAGTGTATCTTTAAAAGCAGTTCTCCCAAATAAGCAAAAAGCTTGTTCTGTAACAAAATTATAATGTTGGCATCAGTGACACTTAATGATATGCACCCTAGAATAGAGTAGCTAATGACAAATGCATTCTGATTTTACCAAAACCCCCAAGGATCCAAGTCTTAAACATTGTGCACTTAACTAAGGAAATGTTGCCCTTTTAATATGCAGCTAGACCTTCCTCTAGGTGAGGATGGATTATTAGCATTCTACTGGAATTGAGCAGAGTGCCATGAGGCAAAATGTAACCGACGCGCTTCTGGCCATTAAGTTAACCTGACAAATGCAACTGATGTAAACAAACAAATGCTTTAATACCAAATAATCAAGAAAATTCCTCTAAGGGCTAATGCCTAAAGGCATTCTAGTGTCATCAGCTTTAGTAACCCATCAGAGAATATATTCATTAATTACAAGCTTTGAAATTTAATCAAAAGATTAAAGTTTGACCTAGCCCTTGTACTATTAGGATATGCTGTGACTGGCATCAAGCTACAGGATATAGATAATCCCTTTGAAGCAAGGCATTCCTGGCTCTATAAGCATGTCTACTGCTGATCATTGTACACAAAGAAGATCCACAGAGGCTTCCCCTCCTGTCATTCACAATCCTCCTGACAATTAGCCCATGGTTCCAGGGTTACTGACCAGTTACAAAACCCCAAATCCTTCACACATGTGCTTAACATATCAATTTTAACTGTAGTTAGCATGCAGATGAAACAGCTTAATATCTCCATCTTTCATATTTGCCCTCCCTTTTCCAAGTCAGTCAACAACTCACTAATGGAACAAACACAGGATCATCAAGTTCTCAGGCAAATTCTGCTCTTCCCAAAGCAGGTACATTACTTTAGCCAACATGTCTTGCAACTGTTCCTTAAGTTAACAAGAGTGACTTGTTTGCCTGAAAAGTATGCTCATTTTGCTCACCTGCACCCAGAATCAAACATTTTTTTAACATTCATAATTATTAAAGATAACATGGAAGCCATCTTGTTCAGCTTTCATTTGCCAAAAGAGGGGGGGGGGGAACTTTTACGCAAATCTAAGTAGGTTTTAAATAATTTAGTTGACAGTATTCTCTTTTTAAATTCCCCTTGAAGACATAATTTGTGATGGTGCCTCTTACAGATATCAAGCACACTGTTATTGTTAACTAGATATCATATGGCATTTTTCAGCTGTAGATCTCAAAGTGCTTCATAAGAACGGGTGAGTACAATTTAGCCATATCTGATATGTAAAGAAAACAGAGAGGCTAAGTGATTTGTCTAAGGTCATGCCACAGATTAGTTGCAAACTGGAAGCAGAACACTGGTCATCTCACTCCCAGTCTAGTATCTTATCCACTGAGCTATGCTAACTTCCTTTTAAGCAAGCTTAGCAAAGGATCAGAGTGACAGCGCTAGAAACTCAATCTTCCATTGTATCCACAGAATAGATAAATCAGGGTATCAGTGTATGCTTCCCCGCTCCATCCAGTCAGCATGCATTAGTCCACTTTCAGGAGTGAAAACATAGTTCAGTCTCTTTGACTCATTCAGCCCTTGCAAGGAGATTTCATAAGTTAAGCACCACCACCCCAACACCACCTCTTCTTCCCACAGAACCATAATTAACCCATATTATATTGTTCAATAATGAATGGAAAGCATATGTATATGATGCTAGGTGTGTGTTAATTAATGCCTGTCTTGTTAGGAGCACTTGAAAGAAGGTTGGTGGGAGGAGGAGTGGAATGGGAGAAAGATTTTAGTCCCCTGAAGGAAAATCATTCAAATGTATTAACGTTTTTTCCTTCACCAGGGAAGCTCCTGGAGATACGTGTCATTTTCATAAGGGTCGCAGAAGGGACAGCACTATTAAGACAGACACTCTTTCCTTATAACCTGTGTATCATTTTAACATTAGCCTTAATAAAAAATTTTAAAACTGTATTCATCAGTTCAACATCTGATCTGCAGTTGCAGGGGAAGGGGGGGAGTGGACTCGTGTGTGGTGGGCCTATTTCATCTTCAACTTCTGTAACCTACTTCAGTCACACACCCACAAAATCATGTCAGGCAAAGGCAAACATGGGGGGGGGGGAAATGATCATACATTAAGCAGAGACTTACTTGAACCGGCCCTGGCAATGCTGGCACTGGTCTCCTACCCAGCCCTGGTCACAGAGGCAGGTGGAGTTGACACACCGCCCGGAGAAGCAGGAGGTCCTGTCACAGGGCTTGGACTGGGACACCTGGGCATAGAGCACCAGGTACAGGACGCCGTAGAAGAGCAGCCAGCTGTTCATATCCAGCAGCGAGGCGGAGCAGCAGGGGGAAGAGGAACAAGGTCTCCAGACTCCGTGGGGCGCAGGGGAGCCTGCCACCCTCCGCCAGGCGCTCCCCAGATCCATCGTCGCCGCCGGACGCGCGGACTCCGCCGGGCGGCTCGGAGCAGACCCCCGCCCAGCCACCCGACCCGCGCCGGACGGCGGCACTGAGAGGCTGCGGGCGGCCCCCACCCTCAGCCGCTGGGAGACCGTCCTGGAGAGAATTAATCCTGTCAGGGCGAGCCCAACCCCCCTTCCACTCCCCGAGCCCAGCGCCGCCGCCACCCGTGAGGTAGAGCCCAGCCCTCGCAGCCCCGCTCCCCTCCTCCACGGAGGGGGAGCCTGGCTCGTGACCGGGCGGTTCCGCCTCACCAGCTCCCTCGCCACTGATAACGGGACAAGGGCAGCAGCGGGGAGGCAGCTGCCGCCTCCTCTCCCCTCAGCTGAGCGCTCCCGCGCCCTCTACAGCATCCCCCAACCAGGCGGCCCGGGAGCGGGGGGGCGGGGAGCTCTTATCTGCCCCCCTACTGGGGGGGTGGGAGATTAGCAGCCAGCCGCTGTCCCAGCTGACAGTGTCCAAGCAGCCATTTTCCAGGGCTCATGATAATCTCCGCTCAGCGCCGCCTGGCCGGTTGGCTGCCGACCCACCCCGCTTCCTCCCTTGGTCCGCTCGGAGCCGCCGCTCGCTCCGCCAGGCCCGGAGCGCGAGCGCGGCTGCTCCTCTCTGGAGGAATCACCCCCCCCTCCCCGCCTCAGCCAGGCGGGCGCGCGCGGCTCAAGCACCAGCCCAGGCTGCTGATGGTGCTGCCGCCGCCGGAGCAACTGCCCTGGGAAGGATGCGGACTAACCGCCCCCGGAGTGGGGGTTATTTCACAGTAGCCCTCGGCCAGCTCCCTTGTCCCAAACCCGCCCTGCCCCGTTAAATATATAAACCTGTGCTGGTGGCTGCCGGTCAACAGAAATCCCTCCCCTCCATGCTAAAGAAAGGGCTGAGATTGCAATGCTCTCTCCCACCCACCCTCCTCCTGCTGCAGCTGCTTCACAGGAGAGACCATCCAACTACCCCACAAAGAGAGCTGAGCATGTGCAGCCCAGGAGCCCCTTAAAGGCACAGCGCGTTGCGCTGTTGGCTGGGGTTTGCACGAGGGAGGGACAGCGCACTGCGCACACGGGGTTGTTGTCTTGTTAAACAAGAAGTGAAGCGGCTCTTCCAAACCTTCAGAGGAGCACGGGGGAGGAGGATTTCAAAAATATTTCCAACCGCTATGACACGCTAAAGGGGAAAACCACACTATGGTTTGGTTTGGTTTCAGAGCGCCCTGCCTTATTCAGGGGCGACTTTTCCTCTTTCATACAGGACAAATCGCTGGATAGGAGGAAAGCCATTCCTGTTTCCGACACCAGGGTGGTTGTTTTTGTTTTTGTTTTTGTTTTTTAAGTCAGCGGTAACACGAAAGTACAATGACTTTCTCAGTATCACTGTAATTTTACTGCATTCTTAGTTTCCCACATTTTCTAGAATGCATTCAAAATAAATACCCACCAACTGCAGAACCACCACAATTTACCATGTACTATTCACCACCTGACCTGAATTCCATCTACTATCCCTCTCCAATATTCCAAACTTATGAGCAGCTACAAACAGTTGTTTTTTATTGATTTATTTTCCATACCACGTTCCTATGTTACAATTGAACACACACACACACAAAGTTTGGGGACCCCCTTGCTGTCTATCCATAAAAGAGAGAGACAGACAATGGTCGCAATCTTCTGAAACCTGTACATAACCCTCAGGTTGAGAATTTATGATGTAGAATCATAGAATTGTAGGACTGGAAGGGACCTCAAGAGGTCATTTAGTCAAATCCCCTGCACTCAAGACAATGTAAGCATATAAGCAATGTCTGATGTAACAAAAATTGTGTGAAAAGAGAACCAGTTCTATAACTTAGTGTCTTGAAAGAGATGAACCTGAGTGACAAAGTTAATTTCTCAAATTAGATCCAAATCTGAATTTTCCAAAAATTCAGTGACATTCATATTTGGTTTTCTGGCTTAGCCCATGAAAGAGACAGGCCCATCTTTTTTTGAATCATATGCTGACCTGAACTTCCCCATAATCCAGGAGACTGAAAGGAACCCAGTGCTTAGTGTAGTAGGAAGGGAGCCTGAAACATAAGGCCTTGTATCAGAAGCCTGGTATGGTCTAAAGTAGTGGTCAAAGCTTTCCTGCTATAAAGCAAAGTTAAGTTGTGAGCAAGAGGCAAGCCCTGCTCACGGAACCTGGAAAAGAACGGGGCTGGTATTGCAAAAACACACATGTTCCTAAGAAAGACTAGGCACAGGACACTCACGCAAACACATTCCAGAAGGCTGGTACCAGAACACCCCAATACCAAGTACTGTACAAACATCCTCCCCCCCAAATATAACAGGAACACGCTGACCTCTCTTAAAAGATAAGGTCAGGATGACAGTATAATAAAAAAGATGTTTGATTGAACCAACATGTACAAGGTAATGGGTGGTAAAAACCCACGTCAGGGGGCAGTAACTAATCCTCTCAGGGGGGCAATACATAACTTATTTGCATTGATGTATAAAATGAAGCCTCAAAGGGAGTCTCTCTGTCTAGACTAGGGAGGAACAGAAAGTCCGGCCGTTCACTGAGCTGGTCCAGTGTTACAGGATACATGTATTAGTGGTCCGGTAGAGTCTGTGGGATACAGGTACTCAGAGCCGTCCCTTGGGCAGAGAGAATCGGGGCGACAGCCCTGGGCCCTGCGCTTTGGGGAGCCCTGCGCTTCAATAAAATCGGGACTGTCCCGATATTAAGCCCTTTGTCCCGCGTCCCGACAGATGCCATTTGTCCCGATATTCAGGTGAGGAGGCGGGGAGGTGAGATGGGCAGGCGAGTGGGGTGAGGAGGCGAACAGGGAGGTGAGCAGCAGGCGGGAGGGGGGTGAGGAGGCAATGCCTGCAATGCAGAGAAAGGCCAAAGCTCCAATACAGCGACAAGGCCAAGCAAGGCCTCAAGAAATTCAGCATTCCCACTGACAACTGGAAAAATCCTGCCTACAATCGTTCAGGTTGGAGAAGACTGGTGCAGTCACCACGGAGAGGTATTAGAGAGCCCAGGTTGAAGCCCACAGGTGAACCAGGAAGCAGAGTATGCTTCAACTTCCGTCTGGTGATTGGACCTCTAGCCTCTGTGAGAAGGTTTGCCGCACACGCATTGGGCTCTTTTCCCATACCATTGCTAAGCACCACTGACGGGCTGACTTTGTCACATCTTTCATCTGTCAATTCAAGATATTGGACGGCCATATAGAAACCCCAACCAAGCTAAGCACATATACATAGTTAAAAACAGTCCCTGTCTTGAAAAGCCTATACACTTAATAGACAAGACAAATACAGCGTGGGAGAGGCTGAGAGATAAAGTGTTTTGCCCAAGGTTACACCAACAGGGCAGAGTCATGAATAAAACCCGAGCATCTGGACTTAGTCCAGGGCTCTATCCACAGGACCACACTGTCCCACTAACCAAGTCTAGATAGATGATTTCATTTTTCTGAATTTCTTTTCTTCATTATTAAACATCTTTCTTTGTATGGGTTTTGTAATGAATCAGCGAGTTCATGCAATGTGTGAGGAAATGGAAATTATGCTGCTGCTTTATACTTTATGAAAAAAGCTCAATCCTGAATTTATGCCGAACAGTCTGTTAATTGTGCCAAATTAAATGTCATTAAGTCTACTGAACAACCGTCTTCTGTTAAGGAGTGATATGAGACCAACAACTGAGTTAATTTAAGATTAAGTATCAAGATACAACTGGAGTTCAAAGATCAGTTATTCATTTCAGACCATATGAAATTTTTTGTTCAATGCAGAAGGAAGAGACATTCATAAATAATCTTCAGCCCAAGTTCAGCATTCTCTCTTGATTTTTTCTTACTCCTCTTATGCCAAGGAACAGAGTAGGAAAAACTGCTCCATCTTTCTCTAACATCTGATGTAGATTTTGTTTCAGACTTATGGAAGCCAGCCAAGTTTTTAAAGCAGTCAATCAAAGCAAAGGTAATTCCAAAGGGGCACTGCATCCCTTTAACAACCAAGAGCTCTGTTCAATAGCTCAATTATCAGTTTTCCAGCAGTATGTTTGTTCATTAAACACCAATTTTCCCTCCTAAGTATAAATATGAAAAGTACATAGAAATGAAAAGAAAGGAAAAATTATGAAAAGAAGTATATCACAGTGGTTCTCAAACTTTCGTACTAGTGACCCCTTTCACATAGCAAGCCTCTGAGTGCGACCCCCCTAATAAATATATAAAAAAGTGTTTTTAATTTAACACCATTATAAATGCTGGTGGCAAAGTGGGGTTTGGGGCGGAGGCTGACAGCTCACGACCCCCCAGGTAATAACCTCATGACCCCCTGAGGGGTCCCGACCCCCAGTTTGAGAACCCCCTGGATATCAGGATGTTGTATTATTGATGGTCAGCTAGAAGACTTATGGGCATGGCTGTCCTTACCCATATGCAAACAACACAGCTGTGTAGGGCACCAGGAAATTTGGGTGCCCCAAATTGGCCCAAATTTCCTGGTGCCCTACGCAGCTGCATGTTGCTCCAGTGGCCAGCCCAATCCCCCAGCCAGAAATCTGCCCCCGCTCCCTCCCCATGCCCACTCCACCCCATCCTCACAGCCCCTGCACCTGCTCTGCCCTCACCCCACCTCTTCCCACCCCTGCTCGGCCCCAGCGCCACACCCACTCCATCCATTCCCCTGAGCTACGTCCTGGGGGACTGCAGCAGGGGTTGGGCACACCTGGCACTCACCGGGTGGCGAGGAGCAACCCGGCCCCAGCCCGCTCTGCATTGCCGGCTCGTGCTGGGGGGGCGGTTTCCCCCCAGTTCCCCAAGCCTGCTCGTGCCCCCCACAGACATTGGGCATAGCCCCCCACCCACAGGGGGGCTGCGTAGGGCACCGCAATGTCTAGGGACGGCCCTACTTATGGAGCTATGCTGGAAGACGTTCCCGACTTACACAAAATTCGACTTACGCAAGGCGTTCTGGAACGGAACGCTTGGTAAGTCAGGGAGCTTCTGTATTGGGAGTCATAAGACTTGGGAAATTATAAAAAAGTAGAAAGATTTATTTCTATTGAGCAAAACAGTAATGAGTTCTATGGCTAAAATAACTGAAGACCTCTTTAGAGTTTTCTGGGTGTAGGAGAAGAGCAAAGAGGAAACATGCATTTGCTAACTGGACAGGTCAGACAGCTGTCTCTTTAGCTGAACAGTAACTGGCCATCCATGTAAATGAAGGAATACAAACCTTT